AGCCACCAGGGTTTCACCTGAATGAATAAAATGGTCCGACACAGTGACGATACATGTAAATGATGTGATGGAGACACAGGAGATTATTTATAGATCGACTCTTCCTGCATTTAGCAGCTGGAACTGTTTCTTTTATTCTGGATGTTTGTTCTCCTCTGATTTTTATTAACAGTTTGATCCTCAGCTCTACTGTCAGTCAAACTGTCCATGTCTGTGATTGGTCATATACAGACCCCGCCCATTTTATGTGCACACGCGCACATCCAGAGGAAAACTTGAGTTAACTTAAAGAGTTGATAACCACCATCATGTGACCACTTAGCCTGACTCTGATGTCAGGTTAAGTTCAGCTGGATAAAGAGATCCTGGGTATGTCGAACTCTCTCGTAATACAGGCCCCTGGATGCGGATCAGACGGGGCTCAGGGCCAGGACCACAGACAAGGACCAGGATCAGACCAGGGGCCTGTACTACGAAGCAAGTTCAACATACCCAGGAAATCTTTCCAATATCTGGGTGAACTTCACATAACAATCCCATTAAGGCTAAGCACTCGTACCAAGCTTGTTATCAACTCGTTAAGTCACACCAGGTTTTCATCATCAAGATCTGAGCTCATGCACATGAAAGGGGCGGGGTTTACTGCTTATGAAAAACGAGGTTCAAACTGTTGAATAATAAAAATCAGAAGAACAGCTGGGAAAACATCTGGGTTTGAGAAACGTTAGAATCCCATGATTTGGCCTCTATAATGAGCTTTAGTTTGACACACACTGACTCTGAGGACACAAGGTAAATCTGTAAACCATCTATCACGCTAAAAACATTTATTTCACATAAAGCTATTTAAAGGATCAAAGTATTAAAGTATGTGTGGTTCTCCTCCGCTAACACAGCACATCAGTATCAGTAAGTGAAGTACATGTAGACAGTCTGTGGTACTGTGAGTACTTTGCTCCTTCGGGTCAGGTTGGTTTTGTTGAAGCTCCAGCAGCTGACAAAGGTTCATCCTCTGAGGAGAATCTAGATCTTTCAGAAACTCCTCAGAGGATCTCAAAGGATCTTGTGGGTCTCTGAAGACCCTGGTCCTCCTCAGAGACTGGAACGATCCACAGCAGCTCCACAGTAAGAACATGATGTCATGGTTCAAAGGAAGGGAGTGGTCAGTGGGCGGAGCTTTATACTGTTTGATCTCTTATCTCCATCTTAACCTGGACCAGGTCAGCTGTTCAGCATCAGTTACCATGGTGATTACCCCGATAACATGTAAACAAATTTGTAAGGGCGGCTGTGGCTTTGGATAAAAGTAATGTAATTACATTGATAACTCTGAATAAACCTTGTTACCTTGATAGCCACAAATCCTGCTTGGTAGTACAGGGCCCAGGACCAATGACTATAGGATCAGAAAAGAACCAGGGTGGGACTTGGATGTCAGACCACAACCCCAGACCAGAACCAGGACTAGACCAGGATCAGACCAGAACTAGATTCAGGACCAATAGGAAACTGAATGAAATCTTTATTTGCTGACAGTATGACATCACAATGACATCATCAGGTGGAATGCAGAACCAACAGATGCTAACATTAATGCTAGTCAGCAGACTCGGCAACCACAGGGGTCGGGCTACAGAATGCATATGATGTCATCTGCGGGGAGGTACTTCTTGGCGGAGAGGCGGGGCTACAGGGTGCAGTTAGCTTCTGGAAAGAGTCGGCATTTGGCCACGGTCAGGTACGTCTCCACCTGCAAACACAGATGTCATCATTATTACATATGATTACATCATAACTACATCATCATTACATCATCATTACATTTTCATTAACCCCCACCTTGTGCATATCCTTCTTAAAGCAGGCGAACAGTTCAGAGTTTCCATACGGCGTGAGCTGGAGCACCGAACTCTCAGAGAATCCACCTGCTCCATCCTGATTGGCCTGAAGGGTGAGGTGGTCAGTCAGACAGCTGTTCTGATTTGTCAGATCAAGAGAGTGTCGATGTGTTCTCACCTCTATCAGCTTCAGGAGACCCATCTTCAGTTCTGACAGTTTGGATGTAACCTGGGTCCTCACAGCAAAACTTGCGACCAGGAAGCGACTGAAAAACTCCCAGGACTCAATCAATCGATAAGAGACCGATAAAAGCTTCTGAACCTGGACCAGAGTAATCAATAACTGATCAATCAATCGAACTGCGGCTGTTACTCATTCAAATGTGTGTACCAATTAAACTCATTGTAATGTTTAGTATTGTGTAGAACTGTGTAGAACTCACTGAGCTGCCTTGTGTCTCGTGTTTGTCGATCGGACTCAAGAAATTATCTGAATGACAAAATTCTTTTGAAGCGATTTTGTTGAGAAGACGTTGATCCTCCAACTGTAGTGAGTTCTCCTACACAACACAGACACACAATTATACACAACACACACGCACACACACACAATGTAATCCTCCAACTGCAGAGAGTTCTCCTACACAACACACACACAATTATACACAACACAC